GAAAATTAAGGTGGTAAGGATCGTTTGAGAATACGTTACCAAGTTATAGCATTATATTTAAAAGGATCGGAAGAATATATCGATAATAGAAGTCTTTGGGAAGAAATATGGTTATGGGTGGTGATTCGTTCGTTATTTACCGCTCTCTTCATCCCCTGGTATTGGAAAGGCGCAGGGAAAATTGAGCTTCACGCAGTTCACTTTGCCAATCTTCCCAGATGATACCGAGGCGAAGCATCTAAACTTCCAGAAATTCACTTTGTTATGGTTCTATTATTATTATTATTTTTCAATGATGCTGGGACATTTGCAAAACTCCGGACCACAGCTGTCTGCGGTGGGGAACGAACGCACTATTGCCCTTTCCGAAAAGTAACGCGTTCACCACCACACCATGTGGGTCCTTCGTTTCGCCTGTCTCTCAGCTAGTGCTATTGATCTTTTGCCATCAGCAATCACCCGTCAACGGGATTGATCTAAGGAGCCCAAATCCGCAACGAACTCAGTTAAGCTGAGGCTGCAGTTATAATCACAATTTTAACTTATTTATTGCCTATTCTTTTTAACGGCAGGGTATACTGCTAAATATAACTTTCAATGACGCTGAGATATGTACCCGCAGTCCGGAGTTTTGCAAATATCTCAGCATCATTGAAACTTATATTTTGCGCCCGCCCTGCCGTTAAAAAGAATAGGCAGTAAATAAAAAGGTTAAGATTGTGATTATAACTATAGCCTCAGCTTAACTGGGTTGAATGCCGATTTGGGCTGCCCAGATCAATCCCGTTGACGGATGATTGCTGATGGCAAGTGATTGATAGAACTAGCTGAGAGATAGGCGAAACGATGGACCCGTATGGTGTGGTGGTGAACGCATTACTCCCCGGAAAGGACAATAGCGCGATCGTTTCGCAACGCACGCACCTGCGGTCCGGAGTTTTGCAAATATCTCAGCATTATAGTACTTATATTCCATTCCTACTATTTGAAATCTACTCCATATGCCTTAACCTTACTTTGAAATATATTACACAATGTGGCGAGTGTAGCGCAGCGGTCGAAGGCGCCCTGCAATACACTTGGTATCGATCCCTGCGCCCCAGACTCACCAAAAATACCGGAAACAGTCGACGAATCCCGCCTCAGCTGTCCGTAAGCCTTCTATCTGTCCGTGTCCGCGGTCGGCAAATTGGTACCAGATTTGTCTAGGAGGATAGCTGTACTGGCTCGATACATCGGTAGGCCACCGTGAGCCAGGCCCAGTAAAGGCCAGATATGCATGCAGTCACCTCCAACGATGGTTAATGAAGCCGAATGCATGGCGCATCCCTCAGGGATTGCTTAACGCTGAGAGCTTTGTACATTACATAATGTTTCAACTAACACAAATTTCCACCTCATCTACATTTTTAAGGATGAAACTGTTGTTTATTTAGATTTATTCATTAAAAGGAAAAACAGCTCCACGAGACCTTCCTTATCACCTGAGCGAATATCAGATATACTCAGTCGAATAATGCCGTTTGAGCTGTCCGTAAGCCGCCTGCAAGTTCGTGATTGACAGTCTTCGACTTACAACTGCCATCCCGTTAGCGGCACAGGAGCACTCCCCAGGGTGGGTGCGTAGCCGTGCGAGGGGCACCCTGTCGGCGGGTAGGGGCGCCCTCCCACGGCGCGCGGCCGGGCGCTCTCCCATGACGGGCACCCGCGCTCCGCCTGCCCGCGCCCGGCGTGCTCTGCGTCTCTGATCGCTCCCTGTTCCGACTGCCCCTTTGACCTTGACCACTTTGGGCCTAATTGGGGCTTCTAATGTCGTGCTTGCTTTATTGGTGATTAGCAGAGGTTTTTCTTAAGGACATCTTTTGTTTGTAGCTGTAATGTGTTTTTTTTTACTTTAAGTGCAATTAACGCATTCGTGACGAAGTCGGGTTTTCGACAAGAGACGGTAATTTCTCGACTCCTAGAGGATTTCATGAGCTCAGAACATTTTGTATCTGTGGAAGAGACTGGGATCTTTTCCAGTAACCATTCGTACATTTTTTATAGGGAGTCCTTAAATTCAAATATATTGAACGTTGAGATTTCTAAGAATTTGATGAGGAAGCTTAAGTTTTTTAACGTTTCCAGCGGGAAGGCGGTAGATTCAAACGTAAGCGACACTTTGTGAAAGACCATCTGTTCCTCTGGATGGTGTTCCGCCCGTCGATTTGCTTCCGTTTTCGCAAGCTTTGAAAGTGAAAAAGTGGATGAAGTATTCGTCATAAGCTCATGGAAATTAGAATTCCATCATGGGAAAGCAAAGAACTCTTATCTTGTAGGCAAAGACTTACAGATTCTAGTGCTTTCCACCTAAATTAATGGAATTCATTGCGAGATATCTTGGTCCAAAGTTGAAACCGGGCCATTATTGTCGTATCTCCTGACTCCTATGGAGGTTACGTCGTCGCGAATGTGTTAGATTGTGGCGCTTAGTTTGCGTTATGCTTAGAATCACTAAGTTTAGAAGTTCAAGTTCATAGGAGAATTGTTTCCGTTACTGTATAACCAAGGGCAACAATGACCACAGTTTTTATTGTTTCCTAGAAGGAAACATTAAAGCGGAGCATCATTAGGGGTTAGGAAGCCCATATAGCGTTATTGGAAAGAGCAGCAAGCTAACCCTTAATTGATGAACATCGAGTCAGTTGTGTTACTCTAGTATAATGTAGCAGTATTGAAATAGTCTAACCTCTACAGAGGAACTAAAATTGCGAGCTTTTTCTCTGTGGCTAGGATGAACATTGATCCATGATTCTGTTTCTTCTGGTAGAACCAGGAATTCTATGCAGGTCTGCTGTTGAATGAGTGGGAGCTATGATTGCTTTAAAATTGGACTACGTTGCTATCTCTCACCAGTATGTAATTTCCTTGGTGGACTCGTGAAGATTCCTGTCGCAAATTCCATGTTTCTTGAGTTTTTTCAGTACAATTCACATTGGTCATGCTATGGACACCTCCAGCGATAATCCCTCCGTTTTGCACGACCGAGGACAAGAACCAAGTCGTGTCGAGTTACCTAACGGTCTGTTTTCTCTTCCTGCGCGTACTCGAGCTTGTATTCATTATAATTTGCGTTATACTATTATGTTATGAGTATGGTTTCGTGGTGCTATAGTACTTTATGTTGTTATTTTATTACATTTTATTACGTACACATTGCTTATATGTAGGAATACTTCCATGTTTTTAAATACTACATGTATCAAATCTAACGCTTTACTGCCTTGTGGCTGGGAGGTGTTCCTGGGTGTTGGGCTGCGATGTGCAGCAGCGGGATTCGTCCGCCCGGCAGAGTCTCTCAGGCTGGGAAGGACTCCAGCGTTTCCATCAGGAAGTTCATCGAAGAGTAAACCAATACCAGAATCCAACAACTACCTGGTATTAAACTAGTCGTATGGTGGCAAATCTTCCTCTGATCCACAAGGACGGCGATTGCTTGTGGTGGTGACGACCTGATACAGACTTTGGTTAGGCTGACGTCGGGACTCCAGGGAACCGCAGTGGCTAAACCAGCAGATCTCTGGAGATGTAAATTATGCTGAGGTCCGCACAGCCAGTGAGGATGTGTCATCCAGGTATCCAAGTATATGTATTAAATAAGTGAATAAGTCGTCGTTGATCAAACTCTGAGTCGTGCGTCTTGCATTCGACTCCATTGCGTATTTTAGAAGTGACTGCATGCGTAGTTGGCCTATATGGTTACTCACGTGCCTCTGCATACATGTACATATGTATATACATATACACATGTATTTTTACGTGCGTAGACACATCTCTACATATATCACATTTAAAAATGCATTTACGTACATGTGTATTATGTGTGTAAGTGTATACATATACATATATATGTGTATATTCATAGCTTGTTCTTAATCGGCATTTTTTCGTTGGTAACCATTCTTTTTCCAGAGATAGAACTGAATCCATCTTCGTCGTCCGCTGCCAACGAAAATTTGCAGGACATTCCGTTGACTGATACCCAGTACGTTTTTCTCGGAATTCCTTCTATGTCATTTTCTCTCATCATGGGAACCTACTTCGTGTTCATAATGTTTGCTTCAGTTGATCGACGTGCTGAGAACTTCTGTTTTTGTACTAAACACAAAAAATAGGAATCTTTCTTATTAACATTATAACCTACTTAGCTGATACGGAAGTTTACTAAATATTTTAGCAGTTCAAATATCCCTCGGATTAAATGTTTGCTTTCTCATTATTCTCACTAATGATTGAAATCTAGTTTGTCAGATAGAACTTTTATTCAAAACAATACAGAGTGTCAGTTAATTGTCATTTCTGCTAGCGTATGCTGTCTCATTCCGAACATCTGGTTGCTACGAATAGACGGGGTTTATAACGTTCGATAATTATAAAATAAACTAACAAAGATGAATCGCGTTCATATCACCAAACATAGGTGCGTGTAGCGCAGTGGTTGGAGGCGCTCTGCAATACACTAGGGATCGATTCCCGTGCCCCTAGCCTTATGAATTCTTCCATCCCTGTGGGGTCGGCAAATTGGTTCCAGACTTGTCTGGAAGTATAACAGCACTGGCTCGATACCTCGGTAGGCCATCGCGAGTCAATGTAAAGACCAGATATGCATTCAATCGCCTCCAACGATGCTTAGTGAAGTCGAATGCACGGCGCACCCCTAAGGGATTGATCAACGTTGAGTATCCTTTTTTGTCGCCAATCATACGGTAGTCTTGCTTTCGAAAGTGTTTGTTGTTTCCGTAAAGCATTCCTTTTCAAATATGATTTTGCTCATTACAAACTTAATTCTTAGTGTAGTGTAGATCAGTGGAATTGTGCTATTTGTAGCTTTTTGCTTGGAATCAATTAACTTTAGTCGAAAGAATTTCAGCTCTGACGATATTCCTGGCTACATGTTGAAGTCGACCAATGATAAATTAGAAGCTTCCCGAATTAGGGGTATGTTTCCCCTCGCTTTTTTTTCCCATTTCGTTTTTTGCCAACTCCTTCCTCATAAATGTGAAAAGCTGTTGCAATGCACAGAACTTCAGTGTTTTCTACGTGCAACGCTGATCCATTTCAGAATTTAACGACTCTTTGCCAGTTCCAGCAACTAACCTATCAGTAAGTTCATCGTCGTCGAACACGTTAGAGAACAACATTTTTGCTACCACAGATGATTCCTTAAAGCCAGATACAATTCCTCTTGAGTCTTTGCCAGAAGAAGGAGTATTACAGGTGAAAGCTCTACCTTTTTTATGTTCATGCTTTGCTTCTCTGTAGTGGTACCAGTTACCGTTGTTCTCCAGAATGCCTCGTGTTGTGCATGATTTGGGTTGCTTGTCACCACTTATTTCTTCCCTTTATCCCTCGCTTCTCCTCTATCCTAGGTTGTTCTTCCATATCGACTGATGGATGTACTTGGCGATACGACTGGTGCTCTTGGCGACGAAATCGAGTTGGATCTCACGCAACAGCTCACACCGTCGCCGTCGGTGCCTCCCAGTCGGCGCGGTAGTATAGCCGCATTTCAGCGACGCGATTCTAGAGCCGCCACTCCTGTCAGCGTGTGTCTTTCAGTTCTTTCACATATTTTGCTCATGTTTTTCAGTAGTTAGTCCAGTTTAGTTTTCTTCTGAAGTCATAGCATGTCATCTGTGGATCATGATCCTCAGTTCAGTAATGGTGTAATTTATTTTGGCTCGGCATGAGCTAACTGAAAAGTTCAGACAACCGGGCTTGCTTTTCGTTCTTCGTGTAAACTGAATAGTAGTCCACTTTATATCGCAAGGTGGCTTTCTACTTGATAATGAATTTCAGGCGGAGGCAGTAGCTTCATTACCACAAATTAGTTCGAAGACGACCGTTATTCACAGCAGCGACGAGTCACCTAAGGAGACCTTCGAGCGGATGATCCTAGGAATTAAAGATGGTTCAATGGAAAAGAGTGAAATAGTGGACCAATTGTTTAATACTGTGAGTTCTTCTTCTGTTTTTCCAATATATTAATCCATATCTCGTCTTCCCGTGCTTCGAAACGAGTCATTTTTTATTTTTTGTGTTAAACCTATTCACGAGACCTAGATAATTCTTGCACAATCAGCAGGTGGGTTTAATTTCTTGTCTATTACAGCCCAGACTGATTTTATCATGAATTTCGCACTTTTGCTTTCATTTGGTATTTCAAATTAAATGGATCTGTGGACCAACTTTCAACATATTTTTCCATTTGGGTGCATTTTATTCAGTTTTTTTTCTATTTAGCTCGTTGGAGGACAGTTTGATCTAGAGACCAGATACGTTATTGAAGATAGCAGCAATATCGAAAGAATGCTCACGCTTTTGACTCATTCCGACGAGACCCTACAGGTATAGTCGTTTACCACCGTCGCTTAGATTTGTTGTAGTACGAGGAAACTTCTTCCAGGCCGAGATATGGAGTATATTTTTGGCTGTTGTCCGTAAAAGTAGGCGAAATTTGGAGGCTTGTTCTAGAGTCTCCATGATATCGAAGTAAGCCAAATGTTTTCTCGGTTCTAACGTTTTCCAAATAGTTTCACTCAGGATTCTTGAAATGCTTCCTGAAACTGATGACGTGCTGTCTGACCTACTAGTCCAGCTACTTGGGGTTCTTATGAATTATTCGATTACTGTAAAGGAAACTAAGCAGTTTTTGCGTGCTTTACAGGCTGTGAATGATTCATGGGTAAGGATTTCTATTTGGAGTGGCTTTGTAAAACTTTCTTGTCGCGTGATCTCTGTTTTCAAAAAAATCATACTTTAAGCCTCGTAATGCTCTCAAGCTGTTACAAGTGATGAAACAGATGCCAATGAGAGATGATGCAAACGTTATTTTTTCCTTCCCTGGAAAGTCTCAAGCGGTAACAACTTTTTTCCATTGCGTAAATTTGTTGTAGATAGTGATTTCGTCGCTTTCTTTGTTAGGAAATACTGTATAAATTCACAACGTAGCTGAGGTATTCGCAAAACTTGTACCCCGGGCCAGATCGAACAACAATTACCCTGTCCGGACGCTCGCGTATTACACATTTGCCTTTATGTGACCCCCGGAAAGGGTAATCATGGTTCGATCTGGCCCAGAGTTCAAGTTTTGCGAATATCTCAGCATCGTTGTGGTTGTATTTTCACGTCACACTCGGTCGTGAAAGTTTATAGTAGGTAGGAAATGAGAGGTTAACACTGTATACATTGCTTATTGTTCAAGTGTCGTTTGGTTACCATATATGTTGCCATAACAACTTACTGTTAGTTGCTATTGTTGTCGAGTATATCTTTTATTAAGGGTATCATTGTTCCTCCGTTCGCTAGGTTTCCTTGCCAATCTGGATGGACGTTTACCACGTGGTTGAGAATGGATCCGATAAGCGGTGTTCTCTTCGAGAAGGAGAAGCCATATCTCTACTGGTAAGCTAAGATTTTCTATTTTCTCCGTCTATTCAAGCCTGGTTTTTTAGTTTTCGAAGCAGCAAATCAATTGGATATTCTTGTCATTTTATGGGTAATGCACTAGTTTTGACGATGGAGAAGTCGAAGTCAAAGATAGTGACCATATGCACAAAGGTTTAACATGTCTTTTTTGCTTTTATCGTGGAAATAAGAAATTTTGTTGCTTTAGAAAGAACTTATTCCCCGAAAATGGCATCACATTGCAATTGCTCATTCATATTCGAGGTGGGGTCGCAGTGAAATAAAGTTCTACTTCGACGGAGAATTATCGGAAACCACGGAGGCTAACTGGTTAGAATCAGATTCTTGATTATTATCTTGTGATGATCCTCGTAAATATTATGTTCTATTGCAAGAGAGTAAACTGTTGAGAACTTCACCAGGCAAGCGCGTAGGCTCGTCAGCCAATTATTGGCTTATGACCGTAAACTATTCCATTCTTAGTCACTTCCTCTGTTGTTTTTTTTTCATGAGTTTTTGGGTACCTGCAGGCACCAGTGTTCCGGAGTTTTGCAAATACCTCACCACCATTCTGAATAAATTTCGCATCATACCCTGACATAAAAAGAGTAGGCAGTAAATAAAAAGGCGACTACGTTGTGGTTCATCCAACACCTTCAGCTTAACCACTTTCAGTGCTGATTTGTGCTTCCCAGATCAATTCCATTGACTGGTGATTGTTTATAGCACCTCTAAACACGGGTGAGAGAAAGGCGAAACGTTGGATCCGCATGGTGTGATGTTGAATGCGTTAGTGCCCGTAAAAGGTAATAGCGCTTTTGATCTCCACCCGCGTACACAAGCAGTCCAGAGTTTCCCAAACATCTCATCACCATTGTGGGTATAGTTCTCGGGAATTTTATTGATTGATGCACAAGACCATATTTTTATACGTTGATTGCTGTCGCATATTCCGAGAAGAACTGTTCCTCAGAATATGCAACAGTAGTAGAGAATATGCAGTCGGCGTTCTCGTCAACATGAGTTTGTCCGTGAACATCGATTCATTCGAACAATATGGACTTGGGGAAGTTTTACAGAGAACACCACACATTCTTCAAGGTCATCATTGGAGATTTCGACGCCAAGATTGGACCAAGAAGTACGTCTGAAGAACGTCACATTAGGACCCACGGATTAGAATGGAACGAACAGGGCGAGCGGCTATGAGTTTATCATGGCGACCAAGACAATCCATGGTAACTCGCAATTCCAGAAAACCCACCCTCAGCGGTGGACGTGGAAGTCTCCCAACGGAGAGTATCACAACGAAATAGACCACATCATAGTAAATAGAAGGTTTTGCCTAACCGATGTCGCTGTTGTCCCAAAATTCTACACGGGATCAGACCATCGTCTCCTTCGCGCTAGATTCTATTTCTTGCGGAAAGGAGAAAGAGCCGCTAAATTTTGAAACCGAAGTCTCAGAACCACTGCAAACTGGGACTTATTCAATTCATTAGCCGGCTATTGGGAAGATGCCGTTGTCGATAACATCGACGAAGAATACGATCGGCTCATTCAACATCTTCGCGGTAACGCTATGAAAGCTCAGAGTTCGAAAGTCACCAAGAGACGTCTGCTTCCAGAAACACTCGAGCTGATACGCCTTCGTGGAATCGCACGAGCTGCAGGCAACCGCGAGCTAACGTCCGAACTTGCAAAACAATGAAGGCAGGCGATAAAAGAAAATCTTAGAGAGAGAAGAGCAGCAGTAATGGTCGAAGTTGCAGAGGCTGAGAAAAGCATTCGCAAAGCCCACCGAAGCTTCGCCAACTACAAGACCAAGATGATTGCACTCCGACGCCCAGACGGAATAGTTATAGCGTCCAGAAAGACAATGGAGAAAATCATTCACAAATACTACTCGGATCTCTTCGATAGCCACGTCCACCATCCGTCATATGAAATAAAGGAGGATGGATATGTTGTACTACCGGTTTTCCCTTCCGAAATTCGAAGTGCCATTTCGTCGGTGAAAAGTCGAACAGCACCAGGTAAGGACAGGATAAGACCAGAACACCTCAACCTTCCGCCAGTCCTCGTAAACACACTGGCTCGGCTCTTCACACTTTACCTGTCTGAATGCAAGGTCCCTACTCAGTAGAGGACCAGTAAGATCGTATTATTGTTCAAGAATAGTGACATCTGCGATATAGGCAACTATCGCTCAACATGCTTGGTGCCTGCCGTCTACCAACTTTTCACTCGAGTTATCCTAAACAGGATTGACAGAACACTAGACGAAGAACAGCCATGTGAGCAAGCAGGGTTTCGAAGAGGATTTAGTACGATGGACAACAGCCACACTATAACGGCTCAATGAAGTATTTCGAGAGTACACGAGACCGTCCTGCCTCACTTTCATCGATTTACAGAAAGCCTTTGATTCATTTAAGATGGAAGCACTCTGGAAAGCCCTTCATAGTCGAGTCCCTACTCAATACATAAAGATTCTTCGTGAGCAGTACAAAAGTTCCATAACCAAGATGTCACCATTCTACAGCGATATTAACATTTACGTTAAAAGACGAGTTAGGCAAGGCGATACCATCTCGCCAAAATTGTTTACCGCCACCTTCCAGAACGTCATGCGAACATTGGAATGGGATAATATGGGAGTGAAATTACATTAGCCAAGCGGAACGTATGCTTGACTACTTTGATAGAGCCTGTGGAAAGATTAGTCTTCGACTAAATATCACAGAAACGATGTTCATGAAGAACGAATTGGTTTCGCATGCACCATTCACGCTCAACGGAACGAATCTCTCCGAATGCTCCAGTTATATCTATCTAGGCGGGGAATCAGTATGATGAACGACCTAGCTCCAGAGCTGAGCAGAGGAAACGAACAGCTTTAGGAGCTTTCAAGAGCATCGAGGATGTAGTGAAGAGAACAAAGAACACCCGACTCCGTGCCGACCTTTTCGACTCAACGGTTCTTCCTGCCCTAACGAATGCCTCAGAAACCTGGTCGCTGCTTAAGCAGAATGAAAGATCACTCAGCGTTATCGAACGCGCAATCGAAAGGAGGATGCTAGGAGTATTCCGTTCCACACAAGTAAGGGATGGGATCCGAAGCTGTGATCTGCGTCAACGATCAAAACTCAAAGATGCCGTTCTGTACGCCAATCAGTCGAACATAAAGTGGGCCGGACACGTAATGCGTATGAATGACAACCGACGGAGAAGAACCGTTAGTGACTAGATTCCTCGGGATGTCAAACGTACTGCAGGAAGACCACTGACGCGATGGTCAGAGTTCTTCTCAAAGAGCCTTGAAGAAAGTTATGATACTCGACGAGTCCCTAGAGCGAGCAGAACCCACTGAGCTACTCTTGCACGCGACAGGGAAAAATGGAAGATTTACTAGCGCCCACTCGAGTCACTCGACGATCAGCGGGACTGCAGGTGATACAGGTGATTGCTGTTTAGTCACCTTTTGGCTATTTTTCCTAGCACCATAGTTTATTGATTGTTGTGGTGTTAATTGACGGCCTGTAATATGCGATTCGCTGGCGAAGAATCGCAGCCATTGGGTTTTCTGTGAATGACATATTCATAATCGATTAGGAATCCGTGAAACTTTGCGTGGAAGTCACTTCGTCTTGAAAATTATCCTGTGTCAAAAGTTTTTTTGGTTACTGTTTGGTGTTTTGCTACTTGTCTAATCTGCCAGTAAGAATTTTTTGCTTCTAGCTTATAGCGCTTGTTGATAATTCGGAATCTTCATAACTTTTAAGCAAAAATGGCCTGATGAGCGGCAGATGTTTTCATGTTTTTCGTGCTAAATTATCCCGTGCCGATTTCAAGCTGTGTTCTGGTGAAATCCTTTATGTTTCACAGAATGTGTGAACAACTTTTGTCATGTAATTTTAAATGGTAAACTTCAGTCATAGACAATATTCTAGGCCTGTGTCAACCACTGAACAGTTTGATCGGTGCTCGATTGGCGTGTCACCGGAAGGCGATCCAGATACGGCTTTTGCTGGGCAAATGGGTGCTGTTTATTTGTTCGCGGACTGTTTATCCCTTGAGCAAGCCAATTCGTTGTTCTGCCTCGGACCTGGGTATCAGTCGTATTTCGTACACGACTCTGGATGTAATCTACCTGACGGCTGTCGGAAAGTCCGTTGTTCTTGTTACTGATTTTCACTAAAAATCGGTTGACTAGGTGTATGTGTCTTTTTATCAACTGGTTCTTGCTTCTGTTTTGCAGATCGTTTATGCCAATACTTTTAGCACTTGTTTGATGGTCACTTGAGCAGCGTTCTCGTCATGGCGTACTGCCCTAAGAATTGTCATGGACAACTGTGCTTGAATTCTCCACTAAAGATCCCTTCTACTTTCTTTGTCCAAGTGCCACATGCAGTTATGAAAGAGGTGATTTATTATTGTTTCCTACGTTTCCTAAAGTTGTAAGAATTTGTAATTCCAATGTGTAGTTTTTATGGGTAGTTTTAGCATAAACGGGATCATTTTTAGGGTGTCGAAGTGATTACTACACATTCCATCCACAGCTCGCTCCAATCAGTTGGTGGAATCCAGATTCTCCTTCCGCTTTTTTCCCAACTTGATTTTCCTTGCGAAGATGGCAATGCCATGGATGGTGATGTCTGGTGAGTTTATTGTCTCCTAATTTTTTCATCTCATATACTATGCTTTCAGTTCTACACTTTTGTCTGTCATCGCGTTGTTGTTGGCTAGTTCTCAGACCATTCAACAGCAACTCTATCAGAGCAAAGGCTTCCTGATTATTGGTCACACTCTGCAGAAGGTTCGTTTTTCTACCATGAACTGTGATGACACTTGCAAAGAGGTGTCGTCAATAACCTTTAAAATTTCTAGCTTTCATTCCTTTTTCATTTAAGGATTTGATTTAGTAGTTCATTTAGGCGTCGAGTAAACACATCACGATGAAGGTGGCTGAACAGCTGATAGATATGGCTAAGTTTCTGCTCAAATGCCCCTCTGGAGGACCCCTCTTGAAACAGCTTTTCGAGAATATACTGTTTAATCCAAAACTATGGATCACGAGCGCTCCCACTGTGCAGGTAACATGTCTGGGTAACTTTTGCTTATGCTGATCGTCTCAACGACTAGTTTTAATTCTTTGTATTTTTACAAAGGCCCAAGAACTTTATTTCGCTCTGTCGCTGTCATTTCTAAACAACATGAATCAGCCCGTAACGAATTTTATTAACTACGACAAGAACCATTATATCATATTAATATTCGCCTATAACGTAGAGTTTCTCTGATTCTAGAAAAACTCTTATTTTGCGAAGATCACGAAACACTTCGTTAAATTGTACATATGTGGTTTGTATTTCAAACAGTACCAGTTCAAGAAGCGGGAATTCGCAGAAGCTTCGCCTACACGATAGTGTTCCACGATCTTTTGCTCATTTTTGGGTTGCAGTTTTGTTTCGGAAATCTTGGACGTTCGAATTTCGTTCTAATATTTCAAAAGACATTTTACAAAAGTGAGGTGTACCTTTGAGGCAAAAGGTTAAAGTCTCCTGTCTATTCTACAAGTCTGTAAAGTCATCCCTTCCTCTACTTTTTTTTATTGGAGAGATTATTGCCCTTTATGGAAGAGATAGTTTCGTCATAAATGTATTAAAGGCAACATTATTTTCCATTCCGTATGCATCAATGGTTTAGGAGCATTGGTCTCCTGGATTTGCAGTTTACAACTTATTCAACCATAGAAATTCGACCTTTGAAAGAGATTGTACTATTCAGGCCCACTTATATAATTATCTGGCGACTGATTTCCTTAGCAACACGAATTTCCATCATATTATTCGGCAACTGGCTACATTTGGCGAAATGTGTAGTGCTTTGAAGTTCTACTATTGGGTTACAATGCCCAAACCGCCATCGACGTACCAGGTTTATTTTAACTACTCCATTCATTTCCACTTTTTTTTGGGTATACAAGTATGGGTAGCTATTAGAAGTTCAGGAATGACATCGGCAAGCTCAGCTTCGACAGAGCTGTAAAAATTTTGAGTTCCTCCAATTCCTACAAGACAGTAGCTGTTTGTCAAATTACAAAACACTCCAACGTCATTGCTTCCTTCATAATTCATACGAAGCGCCATTTTAGGAAGTCAAATACTCAAACTTGGGTAATTAAACCCAAGTTTGAGTATTTGACTTCCTAAAATGGCGCTTCGTATTAGAAGTTCATCACTTTTTCACTCATTTTAGGTTGAGGAAAGGCCGGAGACATTCTCTACTGAGGATATCATTGCGATTAGGTAAATTAAACCTTGCAACCAAATGAGCTTTTCAAACTCTGGCTCTATTGGTCATTTTCGTTTTTTTTTTCTTCCAAAATTTTCTTTTCTTGCGGAAGTGTATTTCGGATATATGTCTGGAATAATCAATTTTATAAGGGAATTCAATTAGTACTGGTAGTAATTCTGTTTTCAGAAACTCCATTATTGTTTTTCTCAATCGATTAATTCTGCTGAATTCAACAGTGAGCTCAAGTCAGGATGCCATACGTGAGCAAGAAATCCATCAGTTGATGAATTTTGTCGCTACAGTACATGAGGTCCTGTGGAGATCCATGAAAATATCTCTTGTTCTTATGACCCATTCCGAAAATTTATTTCTACTTCTATGGAAAAGTCGGGTGGTTTCAGGATGACAATCTTTATGATATCCTTTCATTGCTGAATCGTTTGCTCGGGTTCTATCCACACATAATGGTCCCCATTTTCGACAAGGACAAGGTACCAAGTTTCTGCTTTTGTTTAGCGTTTCAGACTATTGAGTGTAGATTTGTTACCAGTTTCCTTTACATGTCTTATTTATCGAAATTAAGGCTGTTGGTTTGGTGTTCAAGCTTCTTTCATCTCCAAATCAACTTATTCGTATTCCAGCACTTAAAATGTTCGGCTTTTATCTTCAGCGATCTACACTAAAGTATGTTTATGAACTTTTATTCTATTGTTTGCAAGCTACGTATCATTTTCGAGGCGTCATATGCTCCACCGTCGTTAATAATTGACCACACGTCATTTGTTGCCCTTAATGTCGTTGATTGTTGAGTGATGACTCAAGCTCTCACCAGAAAGTTTTACATTACTTGTGCCGCACTGGCATTGTAAACTGCTTAGTAGAGTCTCTTTGTTCATAAAAGGGTAAAGGGATAAAGCTCTCGGCGCACGGTTGCACTGTGTATTCGACTTAATTAGGCATAGTTAGAGGTGATTGAATGCATATATCACCTTAACAATAACCCGCGGTGGCCTAGCGATGTATCGAGCCGGTTCTACTATCCTCCTAGGCAAGTCTGGTACCAAGTCTGGTTGCGTGCTCCGGAGAAATGGAGTGCTTGGTGGGCCTAGGGAGCGGTGATCGATCCCATGTGTATTGCAGGGCACCTCTGACCACTGCTCTACACGCGCCCCTCCTTGCTCATAGTTGCAAGCAATTTTACACTTCTCTAATGGGGCGCTTTAGCGTCAGTTTTTGAGGATAGGGTACTACCAGTGGTCTCAGTACACTCTACCGGAGGCCTAGGTAAACGTTCAGGTAGTTTTTTCGGGCTCTGCAGTTGTAGATATGAACCACTTTTTTGGGCGCTATTCAAAATTAACTCCCATATTTTTCACATCCAATTCACGAGTTTTTGATACAACCTACATTTAGGATACAGTCCATATACACACTAGCATATTCACTTGAGTATGCATAAATTATTACGGCGCAATGGTGAAAAGTAGCTCATACCTTGACGCGACCTTCATCCCTTTGAAGTTGTGTGGATGCCTTTGATCTGTGTTCAGTTTCCCCGAATAGAAGAGAAGTGAACATCCATTACTGGGTGTTTCTCTCATTAAAGTGCTTCTCTTATTTGTCAAGGTTGTTCGAATCGACAATTAGTTGAGGGCTTAATATAACATTGTTATATTTTTGTATATGATCTCTTCGGAGTGGTGCGAATAGCGCATTTATTGAGGCGCTCTGCAATACACACGTTGTTTATGGTTTGACCGTTCGCAAACTTATTAAGTCTTCCATATCCCCTAAGTTGCCGAATTGATACCAGACTTATCCTGGTGTATAGCACTGATTTGATAACATCAGCTGGTCACAGCAAGTCACCGTCATAAGGCAGATAAGCGTCCAGTTTTCTCCAACGATAATTCAAGAAATGGATACCAAAGCGTATGCCACAGAAGCTGGTCAACGCAGAAAGCTTTGTCATTTATCTTTTAACACTCTCCGGACAGAGGAAAAATGACATTGTTCTTCGGCACATCTCCAGTAGTTGCAGATGTTTTTGAGCACTAAACATGTTTGTCGGCTTTTCTACAGGCGAAAAACGGAATCGGTGGCGGCACGTCACCTTTACACGCTGATTACTGAACGACTTCTTATCCATACGGAGTATCTGACTCTTCCAACGTATATTGTGCTCTTCGAGATTCTTACAGAGCAAATGACTCCTGAATTCGTTTACACGAAAAAGGAAGCAGCAAGCTCGGAGTGGAGGTATGAACTTTCTTTTCTTCTTTATTAACTGGGAAATTCGGATTATCCAAATTCAGGAGGCATAACTTGAAAGACCGACTTTCTATAAACCTCGGCATAGATAGTTGATATATTTGTTTATGTGATCTTATAAACTGATCTTCTTAAGCTGACGCGAGGTTGGTACAGATCTTCGTTGCCGTTGTCGTTGTTTTTGATGTTATTGATCGATGACTGACGTTTCGGCGACTTCGCCTTCCTCAGAGCCTGGACGTATTTAATATTGGAATATTTTTATTATTCGGTGGAAAAAAAGGTTAAAGTGTTTTAAAACAAACAACGACAACGAAGATCTGTACCAACCTCGCGTCAGCTTAAGAAGATCAGTTTATAAGATCACATAAATAAATATATCAGGAGGAATATTTCACCATTTCAACGATTTTTAGAATGAAATTTCTATTTGGGCCGATTTATAAGTAGGGTCATGGTTTTAGATTCGAGAACCCGATGATGCTAAAGGTTATTGCCAACCTAATTACGCAGTCTATGGAATCAAATGAGTTGATGCGAGTGAAGAAATTGTTTCTACTTGACATTATTAACATGTGTCGTGACGGAAACGAGAATAGGAGGTGGGATTTAATTTGTTACTGCGACGTTCGTTTACTTTACAGGAATCAGAACTTTTAGAACCATTCTACAAATGTCAGTATGGCAGGAATGGTTGATTTCTATTTCTTATGTATTCCCTAGGTCTGAAGCTGAAGTAAGTACTTGATATTTGTCACAGCGTATTATTGTTTGGCTTTGTTCCTTTATCTACATAATGTTTCAGGTAGAAATCACAGAGCTGGTCTATGAGGTGTTCTCTATTCTTCTGCAGCACGCTATTCGTTACGAATACGGAGGATGGCGTGTATGGGTGGACACGCTAGCTATAGCGCATTCTAAGGTCTGTTTTTGCCTTTACTAGATTTAGGATACTCTAGACCATAAGATTCGTTTCATGAGAACATGGGTCGACTCCTTTGTAGGTCAGCTTTGAGCGTCTTCGTGGACAACAGAAGCAAGACGTACCTACGTCCCCTACCAAGACAACCATCACTGAGGAGATTGTGGAAGATCAAAATTATGGTGATGAAGGCAGACAGTGAGCTACTTGCTAAAATTTTGTGTTAACTACTTACTATTATATGCATTCTCGGAATTTAAAACAAAATATTTTAGGTCTATGTCAACATCAGATGAGATGCCCACCCCAATATATCGAACGCCAGAGTTTTGTTGGTCTGGCATGCATCTTAGACTTCTTGGGGATCTTTTAACTGGAATTGAATCTGTTGTCGATGAGTGGAATGCGTATGTTTGTATAATTCTCTTTTAACGAATTTTTTTCAGAAACGTCTTTAAATTGTTGAAAAGCATCTATGGTTTGAAAGTGGGAATTTACATATGGTTCAACATGAAGATATTCCTCCAGCATATTCCTGATCATTTTATCTTTCTTGCCGTTGATGCTCTGATGACTACAAGGGTCGCTAGAACAGTCCTCTTCTGTCTCTGCTAGACAATAGCAGCTCAATGCATTTTGTGGAAAGTCATCATGTTTTTCTTCATCGTGCGTGTGTCAACTCATGAAACTCAGTAGCTAATGGTTCTTGTTCATCGGTTGTCGTAAATCGCATCACATATACGACCTGTACATCTCATTTTAAACATTTTGACACATATGGCTCCGTTTAGAGTCTTTGTCTTCCTTAAGAGTAATCTTTTTGTACTTCACACAGAAGGCTTGGATATCTAGGGCTTCTGTGGCTGTTTTGTCTCAGTTGATTCGAAGGCTAAGTCGACGAAGATGAGGCAAAGGGGTTTTTTTGCTCTCGTTACACTCCAATAATTTCCGTTTGATGTTTTGGATATTTTAAGTATTTCTGCAATCACAAAGTTTTTTTCAGCTCAGAAACACCATCAGTGGCTGATAAGTGTAACTTGAGTGAAAATCAGGTTTGTTTTATGAGCAAAAAGTACGTGTTGCACTGAGTGCCCCAATGAAAGCAAAAAACTTCTTTCAGATATTTGTGGGAAACACAGTGCACGTGATTTCTCAGTTGGCTGACAGCCTCATTATGGCTTGCGGTGGACTGCTTCCTCTTTTAGCATCGGCAACGTCTCCAAATGTAAGGTTTCTATACGCAGACATATTACCATATCCCCCTTGACTATGCCGTATCGCAGTACTATTAAGTAAATTCTTGCGTTGTTTAAGAGTGAATTGGAAATCGCCGATTCCTGTCAACAGGAGTTGTCAATTGAATGTGCTGCTGAATTGTTGTCTCGATTCGTACACCTTGCCGACATTTTTATTTTCGTTAGCGGTATATCGTTTGCTGAGTTGGAACAGGTAGTTTAACGCATGTATGATTCAACTTTCTCAATAGTTCCACGGTTTTTTTTCTGAAAAACCTTTTGTTAAGGAGAAAAATATGCCTTCGGGTGGTGTTCTGCGCCAGGCTCTTCGTTTAATCGCGACGTCGTCGGTTCGCCACATACTCATTGCTCGTGTCCTGCGCCCGGATAGTAATGGCCAAGTATTTGACATTCATGCTAACTCAAAGAATGAGGCTATTTATGATTTCGTGAAAGGAGCCATTGAATCTGTAAGTAGTGGCTGATTCATTTTAGAAAATGCGTCCATGCAAGTACAATTTTTTTAGCAGGGTAAAGAAGGTATTATGGATTTGGATCGTCTGTTGCAAGATGTTGATTTACAACGTATAAGGGGTGCAGTTTACAGAGATATGGTGGTGAGGAAGTTGTGATTTGATGTAGTGAAACTTTTGGTATACGCACAATTTTATGTAGTCTGCTACTGCGTGCGCATTTTTCGGGAAGTTTCACAATCAAAAGAGCCGTAGAAAAGCACGTATTTGTCGATGCTTTTGTGGATTGAGCAAAAGCACGATGTATAAATAGAGGTATAAAGTGAATTCCAGGAGGAAAATCGACAGGCACAATTTCTTGCGTTGGCGGTTGTATACCTCTTGTCGGTTCTAATGGTTTCGCGGTATAGAGACATTCTGGAACCACCAGCATCTCCTAGTCCATTTTTCAACTCCTTAACGAATGGAGGTTAATAATGAGTTTTTTGTTTTCTAGAAGTTTCAACTCTATAGCACTTTGATTCTTTTATGTAGTTTATAGTTCGTTAAGTTAGAAGTTGATGAATATATGTTGAAATGTTATATCGAGGAATGAGAGCGTGTGGCGCAGTGGTCGGAGGCGCCACTGCGCCCATGGGTCACCAAACCTTCGATCCCTCCTGGGTCGGCAAAATGGTACCAGAGTTGTCTGGGAGGATAGCAGCTCTAGCTCGATACATCGGTAGGCCACTGCGAGTCATTGTAAAGGCCAGATATGCATTCAACCACCTCCAAACGATGCTTAATGAAGTCGAATGCGTGGCGTATCCCTCAGGGATTGATCAACGCTGAAAGCTTTATCCTTTATTTGTATCGAGGAGGGCACGTGTGGCGCAGTGGTTGGAAGCGCTTTGCAACACGTGGGATCTATAGGCACGCCCATGGCTCCCAAGCTTCCCATTCATCTGGGGCCGTCAAATTGGTACCAGACTTGTCTGGGACGATAGGCAGCACTAGCTCGATATATCGGTAGGCTACCGCGAGTCATTGTAGGGGTCCGATATGCATTCAATCATCTACAGTGATGTTTAGTGAAGTCGAATCTATGGCTCATCCCTAAGGGATTGATCAAGGCGAGAACATTTTTAGCTTTTGTCGAAAGGATAGATAAATAGCCTGTTCTTTTTACTGACTTTCTTGTTTGCAGGAGTCAAATTCGATAGACATTTGTGGTATAAATTTTATTTTGTCTATACTAAGTAAATGTGTAAAAGAAATTTTATGTGCCTCACCTGTAATGTTCTAGAAAGCTGTAGTACCACTGAGTCATCTGCTGCTGATGAATCACATCCGGATACTGCGTATTCATGCGATCCTACTAGTTCAAAAACGAATGGAGAAGTTTTAAATGATGAGAAACACAAGGAAGAAATATCCGCCATTATAGTGGCTTCCGAACCTGTGAAAAATTATGGAAAAGAATACAAGGTATCCTTTTTTGATACCTCACAGTGCAAATGTGAATCTTTAAAAATTTCGTTCCAGACTGAAGAGCTTTCCAAATTAAATGCCTCCAAAATTACGGGCAGTCCATTGCAACCTGCTGAACGTCGCCAGTATCTGACAAGCAAGTTACAAACAGCTCTAGAGACGACCGCTCCTCTTTTCAGAGAAATTATGACTGATTTTCGAGCATTCTTTCAGAAGACTCTTCTAGGTACTCATGGGCAGGAGATTATGAATGATAATAAAGGTTTCGTGGAAATTTAAGTCCCATCTTACCACTGTTTTCAATAATACCGATCTTACTTGCTTTTATTTCAGTACTAGATACACTGAAAAATCGTCAGGGATCTGTAATTGAACTGGTTATGTTGTTATGTTCACAAGAGTGGCAAACATCTCTACAAAAACATGCCGGACTGGCATTTATCGAATTAGTAAACGAAGGTCAGATTTTCAAACATATTTGTAGTCTTTTTTCATGAAGTGGAACTGTTACCTAGTTGTTTTCAAATAGGACTAACCTGCTATAATAAATCGTTGCAAGCCACCTATCAGAGGTCACCGCTTCGTGTGGCTAAATGGTGTTTCGAAATGCGATACACCAGAGAAGGGGATCATAATCATACACACAACTGGGTCATTCTGGCGTGAACTATGAATTTTTACATTTGCATCTAAAAACCCAGCTGGGTAGTAAACAAAGCCCTTTTTCTGCAGAAACTGGCCATTTACACGTCGCTTCCATTTACTCATTAATGGTAGAAATAAAGGGCTTTACACAAAAACTGCTACGCTTCTCGTACCTTTACCGAGGAGTCAACATAGAAGCTTAGGCACACCACATCTTTGGACGAATATTCCACCACCACGCTTCGAATCTCTGGATGATTAACGCAGTTGCGTCGATGATAATTGCGAGTAATTTCCTAATTAAGTCTATCGGTATAAATTCACATATCAGGCCGTTGTGAAAATAATGGGCGTCTTTGAACGGTGATTCTGAAATGCTGTAGATGAGCTGGAGTCTCTGTTATTGATCAAAATAAGAGCTATTAGTATCTGCACATTTTTTTTCGAAAAAGTTGCCAGTGTTTTTTTATCTTGAAAATTTGAAGTTCCGACTTTCATTAAATGACGAATCTTTCCAAAGCAACTTTTGCAGCGGTTTAGTTGTATATTTTCTCAGGAAACTATTGATAGCAGGCGCGATACATCGGTAGGCCACCGCGTGTGGTTTAAAGGCCAGATATGCATTCATTCACCTCAAACGATGCTTGATGAAGTCGAGTGCATGACGCATCTCTAAGGGATTCATCTACGCCGAGATCTATATTCTTTTATTTTTCTTTAACTATTGCACTGACGCTTGAAAAAGTGAGTGTTCATTGAGTTTGGTAGTGACCCATTCATTCAATTCACTCATCAATCGAGCCTCTTCACTCTTCCTTCCATTGTTTTCCAAATGGCGAAATCCAAATTGTTGAATCGTGGATGTGGAGTCCTCTTTGCAACCGCTCACGTAGAAAAAATGGCTTCTATTATCGACCTCAGACGTCGTCGGCTTCCGATAGGTGATCAGAGCCGCGCGTATCATGAAGATTCGTATCTCCGCCATGAAACCTTTCAAATCTTTTGCGTACTGGGCGTTCAGAGGCCCTTCCTGTCTATGCTTCGTTATCATTTCGTGTTCTAATCGCTTCCCTATGTCTAACTGCTTCAATTAAGGGAGCCAAAAATTATTGTAAGTTACGTTTGTAGCAGAAGAATCATTATATGTCAAGTCATTAGGGTATAAGTAAGCTTCATGGTAGGAAAACAATGCATTCCTTTAATATTTATTGCCAAGGTTGTTAGTAAATTCACAAGAGACAGTCATTTTTTGCATTGAAGTGGTATATATATATATATATATATATGCATATATATGTGTATAAGCAAATGTATATGTATTTACAGTTTTAAATCCAATTTTTCGAAAGATTTGAAGAATTAGGCTCATAAAAGTTTCCACAGAAATACGGCACCTGCCATCGCCAGTGGTGGCGTGTAGGAGCAATAATCGCGTCATGCTGGGCCAAATTTCTTTTACTCAATTGCTCCTGCAATACGCGCGACTCGAAAAGAAGATAACAAAAAATAAATGATCGATGGCTTCGGCAAATCAAAATTTCGTGCCATTAAAATAAAATTCATATTTTGTTGCAAAATATGTATGTAAATGTATATGTATGTTTATATAAATACGTACCTGGTACTCGAATGTCCCGTCCTCATTCGTTGTGCAGGCCCCAGCATAATCTCATTTTTCAGAGGTTTGCTGGTTAAGCCATTGTAGTTCACTAGAACCCCGAGGTTAGCCTGGCCAAAGTCTGCTCCAGGTCTTCACCACCACAGGCAGTCGCAGTCATTGGGGATCAGAGGGAGATTTGCCATCATACGACTTTGATACCAGGACGGTGGCGGTTCCTGGTATTAGTTTACTCTAAGCTGGAATCACTGGTAGAAACACCAGACTCCTTCTCAGCGTGAGAGACCATGTCAGAGGATGAATCCCCCGCTGTACATCGCTGTCCGAGGGAGATTATAAATATATGTGCATATAAATATATATAGCTTGTGACGGTCTTTATCTAAACTAATGAAGTGTAATATAAGGTGAGATATATTTGTCTAAAGTTGAAATGCTAGATTATTTCGCACTCTTTATGAGTTATATATCACTCATCCCGTCCACAGTTTGCCAACGCTGTTATACGCAATGTAGGGCGTACATCAACTTCAATTTGATTGTGTGCTAGTTCTTGGAATTTCTATGCTAAAACAGCGCCTTCAGCGTATTTGGTGGTTTAATGAACCGAGTGACTCGAGCGGGCGCCAATAAATCTTCCATTTTTCCCTGTCGCGTGCAAGAGTAGCCCAATGGGTTCTGCTTGCTCTAGGGACTCGTCGAGCATCATATCTTTCTTCAAGGCTCTTTGTGAAGAACTCTGACCATCGGGTCAGTGGTCTTCCTGCAGTACGTTTGTCATCCCGAGGAATGCAGTCACTAACGGTTCCTCTTCACCGGTTGTCGTTCACACGCCTTACGTGTCTGGCCCAACTTATCTTCGACTGTTTGGCGTACAGAACGGCATCTTCGAGTTTTGATCGTTGACGCAGATCGGAGCTTCGGATCCTATCCCTTACTTGTGTGGAACGGGATACTCCTAGCATTGTCCCTTCGACTGCGCGTTCGATAACGCTGAGTAACCTTTCATTCTGCTTACGCAGCAACCAGGTTCCTTACGCATTCGTTAGGGCAGGAAGTACCTTTGAGTCCAAAAGGTCGGCACGGAGTCGGGTGGTCTTTCTTCTCTTCACTACATACTCGATGCTCTTGAAAGCTCCACAAGCCGCTCGTTTCCTTCTGCTCAATTCTGGGACTAAGTCATTCAACATGTTGATTTCACGACGTAGATATACATAACTGGAACATTCGGAGAGATTCGTTCCGTTGAGCGTGAATGGCGCATGCGACACCAATTCGTTCTTCATGAACATCGTTTCTGTGATATTTTGTCGAAGACTAATCTTTCCACAGGCTCTATCAAAGTCGTCAAGCATACGTTACGCTTGGCTAATGTTTGGTGTTATAAGGACGATGTCATCAGCAAAGCGAAGATGGCTTAAGTGCCGACCGTTGATTTTCACTCCCATATTATCCCATTTCAATGTTCGCATGACGTTCTGGAGAGTGGCAGTAAAAAATTTCGGCGAGATGGTATCGCCTTGCTTAACTCGTCTTTTAACGTCAATGTTAATACCGTTGTAGAATGGTGATACCCTTGCTTGTGAAATTCCTGTACAGCTTTGACTATTAAGCGCTTCCATGACTGCTTCTATCTCAATTAAGTTGAAGACCTTTAAATCGATGAACGTGAAGCAGAGCGGTCTCTTGTACTCCCGTGATACTTCATTGAGCCGTGTGGATGTTGCCCAACGTACTAAATCTTATTCGAAACCCTGCTTGCTCACATGGCTGTTCTTCGACTAGTGTTCTTGTCAATCCTGTTTAGAATAACTCGAGTGAAAAGTTTGTAGACGATAGACAGCAAGCAGATTGGGCGATAGTTGCCGATATCGTGTAGGTCACCCTTCTTGAACAATAACATTGTCTTGCTGACCTTCCACTGAGTAGGGACCTTGCGCTCAGACAGGTAACGTGTGAAATGCCGAGACAGTGCGTTTACGAGGACTGGTGGAAGGTTCTTCAGGTGTTCTTATTTTCTTATTCTCCGGACCTGGTCCTGTTCGATTTCTCACCAACGAAATGGCATATCGGATTTCGGAAGGGAAAACCGGTAGTACAACATATCTACCCCCCTTTATTTCATATGACGCAATGTGGACGTGGCTATCGAAGAGATCTGAGTAGTATTCGTGAATGATTTTCTCCATTACCTTTCTGGACGCTGTGATTGTTCCGTCTGGGCGCCGGAGTGCAATCAATTTGGTCTTGTAAAGCGAAGATTCGGTGGGCTTTGCGAATGCTTTTCCCAGCCTCTGCAACTTCGACCATTACTGCTGCTCTTCTCTCTCTCTAAGATCTTCTTTTATCGCCTCTCTGCATTGTTTTGCACGTTCGGATGTTAGTTTGCGGTTGCCTGCAGCTCGTTCGATTCCACGCTAGCGTATCAGCTCAAGTGTTTCTGGAGACAGACGCCTCTTGGTGACTTTCGAACTCTGAGCTTTCATAGCGCTAACGTGAAGATGTTGAATGAACCGATTATATTCTTCGTCGACGTTGTCGACAGCGTCATCTTCCCAACAGCTGACTAATGAATTGAATAAGTCCCAGTTTGCGGTGATTCTGGACTTCGGTTTTCGAATTTAGCCGCTCTTTCTCCTTTCCGCGAGAAATACAATCTTGCACGAAGAAGTCGATGGTCTGATACTGTGTAGAATTTTGGCACAACAGCAACATCGGTTAGGCAAAACCTATTTACTATGATGTGGTCTATTTCGTTATTGTACTCTCCACTGGGAGACTCCCACGTCCATTGCTGAGGTTGGGGCTTCTGGAATTGCGAGTTACCATGGATAATCTTAGCCGCCATGATAAACTTGGACACCCACTCACCCTGTTCGTTCCATTCTAGTCCGTGGGTCCCAATGTGACGTTTTTCAGACGGTCTTCTTGGTCTAATCTTGGCGTTGAAATCTCCAATGATAACCTTGAAGAATGTGTGGTCTTCTCTGTAGAACTTCTCCAAGTCCATATAGAACGCTTCGACTTTTTCTTTGTCATAGTTTGATGTCGGCGCGTAAACGACGAAGATTGTCAAAGCGGGGATTGATCCACGTCTTTTTAATCGTAAATGTACGATTCGGGTTGTAAGTTGTTCGAATGAATCGATGTTCATGGACAAACTGGTGTTGACGAGAACGCCGACACCGCCAACTCCTCTACTGTCGCATGTTCCGAGGAACAGTTCTTCTCCAGTGTCATAGACGGCGTTGAAAGACTGGCGTGTCCTCGTCTCGGCCAGGCGGATGGCGTCATACCTTCTCCTTGCTTGCATGACCAAGTGTACTATCGAGGACTCGGATGCAAGTGTACGTGCATTGTAGGTACAGATCGTCGCCATAGTTGTTTGAAATCCAGGTAGCTTCCATTGGCCCTGAGATTTTAGCAGCCTCTCCGTACGCGTCCTACCCAAGGCTGCGAAACTGGAGGCTCTTTCGGGGTCAGGGGAATGAGGCCAGTTTTTTTTTTACTGTTTAGCATTTTTGATACCCACGTATAGCTTGCTGGGCTCTGAACGTGGGGGCTGGTTATACTCACGGGTAGCTTGCCAGGCTCTCCCAAAATAGACATGGAGCTTTTTTGTTGTAGGCGACTCCCAACCGCTTCTCATATACTTCCCTGTCACTTGATTGCAGGCTTTGCCTGAATCGACTCGTAGAATACAATCCTCATAAGCCAGAACGCACCCACACACACACATGCATTAATGCGCCTAGCAAATACAGAAAGCATGTGCCATATCAGCGCAGCAGAAACAGGGAGTGCATCCCCTGGATCCGCCTGCGTCTCAGGGAAGCAAAGCTTGCTTTTGGTCCGCGATTAAGCCCCTATCCGCCACCTGGGGAAGCGCCACGTAGCCTCGCGACTAACTGGCTCGAGATCCCTCATATGAGGGAGATCCGTGGCACCGACCTTACTCTAGTTATTCTTTGCAGAAAGCGCCTTTACTTCTGGCTTCATATCAGTTCCGAGGGAAAAACATGCATGGTCAAGATTTTTGAGCAATTCAATATTATAACTACCTTAGCTGATTTAGCGGCAACTGATGAGGTAGCGTTGATTGTAGTTTTTTCTTCAGAACAGTCACTCTGCGAATTAAGTGGGCTGGGTACCGATAGCAGTACTGATGGATTAAGTTGACGAAAACCGTAGAGCATCTCGTCAACCTCGTCTTCTGGCAGTAACGCTATAAAATTAAGATTACTGTGAAGAAAATGATAATGATGAATCGCTCATATCAGAACATCGATCAGTCAAATCAATTGCTATTGAGCGTATGGATTACCTGCGATATCTGGGAAAAGCTCTCGAATGTAGAGGTGCGGTTTGTTATGCGATGCAACAGTAAGCATTTGAAGACATGACGTCTCTGGATGCCTGATGGACGCATGAACCCGAACTTTCCACTGCAAGCAAACCAATTAGGAAAACCTGTTTGAATCTGACGAAATCTTTCACAAAATACTGTGGTGTATCCGTGTTCCAGCTGAAAAAGTTATAGGAGAAAAAGCTCTGATGAGCGATAAGGACAAATGGAAACACCGTTTGTTAGCCACTTTAGCTACTCGATGATCAACGAGATCATGTTATAAATGATTATATAAAAGTTACATAGCATATCATTCCGAGTTTTTTTTTCTGAATCGACGAACCTCTTCGACACTAGTGTACTTGCATATTCCGCACTGGAACGGTCGACCACTAGTGTGCATGGTCTTGACGTGGTCTTCAATGCTGTGCTTGTTCAGTGAGACCTGTGTCGTCATTCACTCATTAAATGAAATACAGCCAACATACTGTGAAAGACAAATTATGACATAATAAGTTATAACAACAAACATTCGAAATAACCGTGCAAAGCCATCTGAAAATAAGGGACGAAATGGTATAGCACAATGGCGAAGAAGATAACAAACAATTCCATACTATGTGGCATATCAGTACTTTAACAGTAGAGTCCGAAATCTCTATGTTCATAGCTAAAAACTCGTCGGCTTGCCTTGATGTTCCAACACCGCTTCTCGTACATAAGGTTCAAAAGCTCTCGACGTTGATCAATCCCTGCGGGATGCGCCGTGCACTCGACTTCATTGAGCATCGTTTGGAGGTGATTGAATGCATATCTGGCCTTTACAATGACTCGCGACGGCCTACCGATATATCCACCTAGTGCTGCTATCCTCCTAGACAAGTCTGGTGGATACTAATTTGCCGACCCGAGGGATGGAGGACCTGGTGGGCTTTGGGGGCGGGGATCGATCTCATGTATATTACAGGGCGCCTCCAACCACTGCGCAACACGAGCTCTTTTTTCCCTTTTTTCTCGTTTTTCTCCTTCCGTTTCTCGTACGTATGTTATATAATCCATCATAAGAAGTCCGTGTACCGGAGTGGTTAGACCTAACCTGCACTGCTCATATGGTCACTACCACTCCATACCTTGAGCAAACCATGCTCTTCATAACTTTGGGCTTACTAAATTGGTACCAGACTTGTCTAAAAGCGCAAAAAACACTGATTTGATAGATCGGAAAGTCTCCGAATACTGCTGCATAGGCCAAGTATGCATTCAACCACCACTGTGATGCTACAAGTGGAACCGGATGCATAGTGCATTAGTTGAGGATTGATCAACGTTGAACGCTTTCCACATGGCATAAGAGTGAAGTACTGCCAGCAAGTGACAGCTTACCATTAGCTTACATGCACTGCACTGCACAGGCATGTTCATGTTAGCCTCGTCGATCACCGTGTACCATTCGGAGGAGAGATCTCGGAATTCCGTGGTCGCCTGACCGCGCCGCTCCCTCGTCGTAGTAGGGAAAATGTTAGCGTATTGGCGTGTCTGTAAACTTCAGAATACATTTACTCTGCTCTATCTTTCGAAAGACAAAAAGCGAGTTCGTAGTACAATATTATAACAGAAGTCCATGAACCTCTCTTCAACTGTCATAGAGATTTTTGCTCTGTTCTGTTCTCTTGCGTCAACAACCGTTCTTCTTTGAGCAGTTACTTGCCACTTGTCATAACAAAAACAACTTCCCTTGTCCTACCCATTACAGGTGCTTCTCAGTTTAAACTCTTTCTTCAATTTCTAATTTCAAGATTCAGTTCAATTCCTTAGCCGTAAAACACCCCTCTGATACACTCATTCAGTCAACAATAACAAAAGTTGAAAATGGACGAAAACAAAAAGTATTCATTACTAGTGAATACTCAAGACAACAAGATTGCCAAAAATACTCCCTATAGATAAATTAAAAGCGCGTAGATTAAGATAAGTAATTCATTTCCACTCACCCAGTCGATAGAAGGATAGCAGTGGGCGAGATAGCGCTGTGCCTCGGGTACGGTGGTGGAGTTCCGGTTGTCGCGAGGAATCTCGCCTGGGAGGTCCGGATGAGAAGTGCGGATGTGCGAGCGGACCTGGAGCTCGGGATGAATGGCAGTGAAAACAACAACACAAGTACGAAAAAGCCGACTTTTCTTCAGAAAACGCTTAGATAACTGAAATGCTTGAAAGACTGAAAACTTGATAAACGTACAGAACACACTTTGCCCTGCATCACGCTAACGACATAGATAATCTTTCTAAAATACTACTTTCGTCTCTTTTATACATGAAAATATAGAAAGCGTTGCCACAATCGAGGTCTGAGAAATTCAGGCCAACTATGGCAATCGGCCACAGTGACGACCAATCGAGGTTATCGGCACGTGCAGCCACACGAAATCTTCTCGTTCAGGCGCTTCGCCGCCTTGGATGCCGGTCTGCGCGGTAAGTGCGGAAAGACAACAATCTGTTGGCTCCAGAAGGTTTGGGTTTCATGATGGAAATAGACGGGAATTTGTAGCTTGTTGGGAAACATAGTCAGATTCTAATAATCTATGTGAATTCAAAACGACTTTGAATTTGAATAATACAGTTTATCTTGAGCTGGGAAATGCTAGTTTTGTGCTGAGAACCAAAGGATTTTCGGTCATGTACGAATCTGAAACGAATGCACGCAACCGTGAATATGTTAACACCAAATAACAAGAGTCAGAACACAATGCTCGCAAAATATCAGCATTAAATGCACTTCGAACAAATTTTCTGAAAGAATGATATGATACGACAAAACAGATTATACGAAAAACATCGGGAACACGGATCATAGCAATTAGCGCAAGTCGATTTTTTGTGCATTTTTTTAAATGCAAAAAAACGCATAAAAATGCAACTGCTTCATGTTCAACGGTTTCAACTGCAGCACCATCACTACTTTGTTGCTCTAACCAAAATAAAGAAAAAAAGAAGAAAAAATGTGTAAATGGTAGCAGACATTAAGTGGAATTTTGTTTTTTTAGGGTGGCAGAACTTTTCGAAGGAACTCACTCGGGTAAAATCCGCATGGTCGAACTCACAGCCGCTCTTCGGGCACTTCCACAACGGCACTGGTGTGTGGATCTTCAGGGCATGCGCAGTGAGGTTGGCGATCCTGAAACACAATATCCACATCGCTCCTACCTTTCTATCTCTTCATTATAATTCTCTTGAAAAACCGACAACCACTTCACATTCGCAAAATTCACCTAACGCTCCCAAAGATACAATCATATCATATCAAAATGTAGTCACAGGAAACAAGTTCCAAACGAAGTTTTAAAATCTCAAGTTTTAAGAGAAAGAGAAAACGAAAGAGACAGAGAGAGAGAGAGACTCACTTTTTGCAGCTAACAGTAATGCCGCAGAGACGACATTTGATCTGACCTGGACCAGGAATTTCTGGAGGAGGGGAGCTCGCTGCTGGTGGCGGCTAAAGAAAAAATTTTTACCACCCTTTGATATTTCAAGTTCTCCAACAACACATTTCTAAATGAATGCTAGTCAAGAAATGTAAGAATGTCAGCATTTTTCTGGAAACCATTTTCATTTAGATGAATTAAGTTTAACCTCGACTCCAATACAAATTTACCATTGGTCGAGTTTTCTCGCACGAAAAATTTGCACTATATTATTTAATGTGGGAAAGTGGCAGCCATCGGTACTGCTTATAATCGGAAAGGTGCTATCCATTGAATGTAACCCAGAACTTGTTGAATTCGCACTTTTCTGATCCCCGAATAGATGGTAGGAGACAACCCACATACACACAAAGATCCCTACGCATATAAGCACAGCATAGGACCACATCTGCATGGAATGTAAATATGAACCTCATGTAGCGAGGAGGTGGATCGGTCTTCTGCACCCACCGGCGCTGCAGACCAATTACATCTTCACGTAGTAATTCCCATGACCGACTTTCTGTTAACCTCGGCATTAATTGATAATTCAATGTTTTTCATCAATAAGCAGACACGAGGTTGTTAATATAGAATTTATTAGAACACAATTGCTGACGTTTCGGCGGTTTCGCCTTCTTCAGAGCCTGGAAAGGTCAAATTGAGATGCGATCTACTCAGCCAAACACTTTCATAACCCTAGCAGATAAAACTTGATAAATCGATTTGTATTCGCATAAGAAACAGCTTCATTCAAACACCTACCGTTTGTTTGTTGTAAGTATTTAAGTTAGTTGGTGGATAGCCGCCGCACAGAGTAATACATGGTCGATAACTGGGTCCATGTCAGATCATTGGATCAGCCTGAGGTATGGCGCTAGGTCACGCGTGATGACAATACA